ATCAATTATGTCCCGACACACACACAACGAAGCGGCGTGTTCAAACACTACACACGCGATCGTAGGACAGAGAAAAATAGTGGCGAGAAGAGAAAAAGAGAGCAGCGGTTACGCAACGAGAAAGTCTCGTCGAGCTGGAATTCATTCTTACTTCCAGCTTGCCCTGACCTCCGAGATAATGAGAGTGATCTGAATAATCTGGATCGGTATGTATTTGGCAACGGGTCTTAATGAGTATCGGTATAAGCCGGATTTCTTTTTCATTTCTCGCAACGAACGATTAGCATACGACTTCGTTCCTCCTTGCGTAATTCTGGACAACGTAATTGGTTACTTCGTATACCCACACTGTGTACACGCGTGTGAGAGTACATATACGTGCAAAAGGTTAAGTGATATAATCAAGCCGAGGTGAAATTACGCGAACATTGTTCGTCGTTATTGCGTTGGATTGAGAGAAAAGAAAGCGTGGAGTTTTTAACGAGATTAGATGGTCGGAGCTAATCGATGCCCTTAATCGATATTGGTAGCTAATGGGAATGACTGATATTTGGGACATTGGTTTCAGGCAATTTTACGTAAAGTACGTACGGTGTGTGGTAACAGGTCGTTTAAAAATTGTACAGCTATTGCATATACTCGTATGTGTGTAACGTTTGCGTAGGTTGGTTCGTTGCAAAATTAATTACAATTTAATAACGTGTAACGACGATGTGCTTTCTCTGTGGAGCTGATATTGTAAGAGTGATTTAAATGTGGAAATAGTTTTTGTTTTTATAACAATTTTTTAAATGTTTGAATTCGTTGAAATGTTGTAAAGTGTTTGAATTCAGACGATTATTTAATTTCTATGAGAATTTTAACTAATATATCGTAGAGACAAATGGATTTTTGAGAAACAAGGTGATTCTGTTAAATAGACTAATTTTTTAAATTTCTGTTATTTTGGAAAGATTAATTGCTAAAGAAATATTAATTTTTAAATTGAACCAATCGTTAGAATGAATAAATTTTTTCCCTGCTTTGGATCATTGAAAATTTTTAATATTTAATTTTTAGTTTAATTTCCATTTCAAAATTCTGATCAACAAAAAATTTGAACGACCTTAGCAAACACTCGAAATCAATTTCTTCTAAAAAAATGCTGAAATTTCTAAATTGAACCAAGTTATCAACTCTTGATATTCGAAAAACACAAATTGATCTCAGTATAAAAATTCAAATATTCACAAATCTAGTTCCGAAGAACCGGTTAAAATAAAAAAAAAAGCACCAATTTCAACGTAAAATCGTCATAAACAAAAATACGAAACTCGGATAATTTGCAATTGTTCGCAAAAATCTTGTTCCCCGTTAAAAGGAAAAAGTCTCGAATTTCAATATGGAGGAACGAAAGAAGCCTTGTAAATTATGCGCACGTGCTAGCGATTAATGCTTCAGGATCTCCCGTTTCCATAATCTCGGGGCCGAATTTCCATACAACCGTATTTCCTTTCTTCGACACCCAACCTCGGATTCGTGAACCGAGGGTGCACAGAAACTGAGAGAAAAAGATAAATAAAAGAAGTCCTCCGTTGGTCCATGAGCCGAAACGCCATAAAAAGGGCCACGACTCCTGGACTGCATTGTTCACGACATTCACGGGACACAGGTTAATCGAATATTAATGGCGGAACAGTACCAGCCTAGCCGTAATAGAATGAACTCCAACGGCGATGCATTAATGTATATCATCGTACGAGGCTCTTCGCTTATCTGGATACATCGTATGTGAATAACGGGTCGCGGCGTGAACTGTCTCGAATACTTACTAGCTCTACGACTGCGCACGGTGTTGGATTCGAAGCGCTGTAAATCAATTTAAACCTACCTATAATGAATAGTCGAGCAAAAATTTTTAAAACTTGGAAGCACTTCATTTTTTTTAATTATTTTGAAATATTTCACAAATTTTAATTGTTACTAAAATTAATACATTAACGCATTAGCGTCGATGGCGCACGTATACGCCATTTTGGTTTCTGACTTAACCTCAAAATCTTAGAAAACGCTACAAACGCTTCAATTTCTCTTCAGAAATGCTGTGACAAATGTTTCGCGAATTAAAACAGTTGCACACGATTTACAGAAAATATGAATTATTTAAAAAGTTGTAGTAGTTTTTTCCAATGTAACGCGATTGAAAGAAAAGACGCGAAATCGTGTCAGGCGCGGTTCCAAACGCCTCGACGCCAGTGCGTTAATATTTGAAAGATTTTTAAAAAATTAAAAGTGTTGATTTAGGCTCGTTACAATTAAACGGCGCAGGAGAAAAGCTATCCTCCTATCCTCCATTTTATTTTCTCTAGAAGCAGATGGTGCTCAAATTTGATCACTTAAAAAAAAGAAACAAATCTTCGCCAAATTTATTCGACGTAACTCCTACCTACATGTGCTTCTTCTTTATTTTCGCAAATGAAAATAACACGCGACTGTAAAAGCGTTTATTGCGACACGAGGCTCTCGGGCCAATATAATCGGAACGACGAACGACATCGAAATTCGTTTGGACGGGAACGTAAGGAGGTAATTAGAGGTACGTGACGAAATTTATTACACGCCGTTAAGTCTCGAGCAGAGCCTCTGTCTTTTGGGGGTGGGGAACGAGATTGTAATTTAATCTATCGTGGCAGCTGAGGTTGATCAACGATAAATTCAGCGTTGCTTATAAAACCGGACGTGCTGTATCGACGATAAAACCAACCCACGTTAGTACATTCGTGGAAAGGACGTTTCCCGGAAAGGACGGGACAATCATTGGAACTCGCGCATTAGTACTAGCTGTAAATCAATTCAAGATGGCGGAAATACGATGTAAACCGCTTGCAAATCGATTCAGCGATTTATACGCCCCCATTGTACGTGAAGTCGGGACAACCGGCGGATGTTTTTACATTTGGCTATAAATTACCGGAAGAATCGCGCGCATGCTCTGCAAATCGTCGATAAATTATTAATTTCAGCCAGAAATCTTGCAGAGCCGCGGCGGATCGTTGATTTTTCGATGTTCGCCGCTTTGTATACCTCTGTATCACGTGACATCGGGACATTAATCGATCATCAACCGAAACATGGAGAACTGTACCGGATGAAAGCTGACGGGATAGGATGATCGTACGTGTTAGTTCTGTTTCGAGTGTACTTGCAGGAAATCTTGTTAATCTGATTGTTTTCTGGTTCGATTTCGTTGAAATTACATTGTTTTAGTAATTTTTTAGGTTAGGTGTAACTTTGGTAAATATTGTTTATCGTATTTACGTTAGGTTGTTCGTTTTTTCTTCGATGGTATAACGTTTCGATTCAATTGTAGATTTTAATTTAACCCTTTATAACGCCGTGTGTCTTAGAAGTGACTATTTTATGTTAAATGACTGTAATAAATTTACTATACTTTAAATAATATAAGTATGCAGCTTTTTATCGGGGGAGAAATGGGGACTGGGTAGGGTACCTCGTCGGTAGCTTTCCAAGTCAAGGTGCGTTCCCTCGCGTCTAACGTTAAGATGGGTGACCGCCAACGGTTAGAAGAAAAAAATTATATTTAAGGGGGGTTTAAATAAACATTGATATGTGTAATATAATAATAATGTAATGTAAATAATTTGTACATAAATAAATACTATAATATCATACGAGTCATTTTCTTACATTATAAAACTTATTAGCAGAGACTTCTTAGGAAATGCGAACGTATTTAAGAACAGATTACTAAATCACACACATACACTGAAAGCAGCAAAATGAAATCTCCAGACTTGAAAACTACGTCGAAAAATGTTGATCAATAGCTCTGCCAAGGTATCACATCGATGGATACAGAGCATGAGCCTGTCAGTGTTGCGTGGTACTTTAAATTACCTTCATGAAAGCGAGTCTTAAGATCTCGTTAACCAAGCTCGTAAACGTACCTGTTCATTTCCTCGTTTACGTCGTACACCGTCCTAATAAAGTGGGTCGAATTGACATTGTCAGCCCGCAAAAAGTTATTAGTCGCCGGTTCGCGTTTACTTTAATACCGATGGCGTGAACGTGAGTTTATGAAAGGCCGGTTTTTCATCTGCGATCTGGAACGGTTGTTTCCACGGCGCGCAACGGTAACGTTTGTCACGTTCGTTTTAGAATGACCCGTGTGAACGTGGTAACGAACCGCCTGCCGTTGCTCGACAAAACGAGCGCTGGAACGACGTTGCACCGGGCCTGACACAGATGCCACTGCTTGCGTGTCCTTCCACGAGAAAGCGAAAATTACTGGGCCAGCCGAACGGGACAACTGGGTCCCCTGCGGTCGATACCATATTAGCTTTTACGTAAACGCTTTGTTTACAAAATTTAGTAAACGCAAGTCACCCCCGCGCAACGCTGTTAACTCACGTAATTCAGTTTCGCAGCGCGCCAAATTTGAAATTCGATCATCCGTACGGAGTCCCTTCAATCGCCAACTTTAAGAAATCACTTGTGAACACTTTGTCCACGAAATATAGTAAACGCAGGTGACCCTCTTATGCAATTCAGTTTTGCTCTAATTTGATTACAAAATTGAAAGGAAATTAGACGACCAACGACCAGTACTTTTTTTCGCAGCGCGCCAAATTTGAAATTCAATAATCCTCAATCCACTTGAATCGTCAAGAAACCTAATTTATTAATATAAAAATTCTCAACTAACAGAGTGGAATTATTTATTTTCAACATAGGTAACAATGACCCATTTTTCTAATCGATGAAAGTCGTAATTAATTTTTAAAAAAGAATACAAACGAATACGTTTAAATTAAATACTGAAGTGGCTCGTGCGAGCAACTTCAACAGATCCCAAATAAATAATTATAATCTAGCATATTCACCTGTTTTCGGGAACACCCTGTATATCGAAGCAACTGTTATAATTTCGCGTGACATCGAAATAAACCACGCGATGAAAACCAGATATTTTCACGAAGGAATATCTTTTTACTTTACAGGCTGGTTCTCCGTTGTCTCGAGCAACAGTGGTACCGGAAGTGCCAGGGTGTATCGAAGAGTAGGAGCGTTGGTTCGAGCCGGTGTTCCTGCCTTTCTGCTCGCTAAACCCCTGAGAGCTTACACGCTGACACACTCCAAGATGGGTGAGTTTTGGTTACCTTTCGATCCGTCTGTACAGTTACCTTTGTAAATGACACATAATTGCACGTTTTACAAAGGAACGGTCTCCATTCGTTCGCTCGTTAACATTGTCACGTGGTTAGAAGGAACGACGTGTAAGAACCGTCACGACATGAATACGCGATAATAAAATACAGTGGTTTGTTATAACGTGCGTTGGTAATTGTTGGCTGTTTGCAATATTGTGGGCGTTTTAAATACGACGTTCGCGTACGCAATTTTCCAGGCTCTTAGTGAAAACGAGTGCGTTAATCAGCATGCACCGGTTACTTATAACATTCTTCTTATACCGTCTCGAATGATCCGGTTGTTTCGTTAATTCTAATTTGCAGTTGTTGCGTCATTACGAAGAAAGACGTGGAAGTTTCTTGTTCAGGATTTAAATAGGCGCTTTTAACGCGACATAGCGGTACATATCACGGGAAATTTATGGGAAAATTTATGCTCTCGATATGTCTTACACTTTCGTTTGCTCGTAAGAAAATGGAAAGAGTTAATGGTGTTTCTTGTTAGATGTAAAATTAGTTATTTGACTATTCGTTTTTAAACCTAATCTGTATCTTGAAAAATTTGGAAAAAATATATCGTCACTCCAATGGCAATTCTCCATTAATGTAAAATCACCTTTGCGCTGATTTTATAATAAAAATGGTACAGTTAATGGATAAAATCAGTGCAAAGGTGTAATTAATTGACAAAGTGATTTCCTTCTCTCCTGAAAATTTAAGTTTCAATTTCAAAAAATAATTTAAGTATGTAATATTGTTGAAATTTCAAAAAATGAAATTTTTAATTTAAAAAATACAAATTCTCACCCTATGTATTATTAACTCTTATGTCAATAACCAGGTACCCTTTCGCACATTTTCTCACTTAAAACATTTGATCTTCCCGGTAAAAGATTTGAATATCAAATTCAAGTTTAGAACCTTCTTATCAGAATCCTACTAAAATTGGACGATAAGGTAGACAGCTGTGATTACCGACATAAAAGACTACCCCAAAAACGAAGTTTCCGAAAATAAACCTATCATCCCCCCCAATTCCAAACTTATCTTCCCCCAGAAAATTACATCTCCCAGAGACATATCGCAAAATCTAAACAAAATCGTCCCCACTTACTTGGCAAAATCACGGCAACGTGTCCTTTCGCCTGACTCCGTCATCGCGAACGCAGAACACGCTTCCTCTAAACGAATCCTTCCGCAAAAAACGGGTGGCGGTCTTCGACACGACTCTAGGAACGTGAAACCTTGTCGAAGTGAAGATTGTCGCTAGCAAGTCTCTCCCCTCGTCTAGGACGTGACAATGCATCGAGGACCGGTGCGTGCACGAGCACACACGCACGGAACGCATACGTGTCGCGTGCGCTCACGCACGGAACCGCGGGACGGATTATTCCCTTGGGTGCAGCGACTGGCCGTGACACGAATGTCAATGTGTCTGTTAATGCGACTGGCTGACGCGGTTATTCGTGCGTTTAAACGTAGGCGAGGGGCACGTAACGTAATAGGCACGCGGGGCCGGTGAAAGCCGCTGGGGTTCTTACGATACGCACGGCCGTCAAGCCATTATGCAGCATAACGATTATGGTCGCGCGCGCTCTACCAAAGGGGGCTTTCTATGGTTTAGTCCTCTCCATCTTCGAACAGCATCTCGCGATATTCCGCGTTCAAGTCACGCGAAATCACACGCTTCTCCTTTCGCGTTAGAGTCGGTTGAGGTGTAAAAGAGCAAAGAGTAGAACACATTCGGCGAGTAAACGGTTTATGGTGGATATGTAGTTGGATACGTAGCTTTGGAGATGGTAATTGTGAGCTTGTTAGAGAAAGTTTCCTTCGATTTTTAGAGTTTTTATCGCCTCGAGTCTGATACGATTGTGTGTTCGGGTAAGGTGTAGAAGATAAGGAGTATGTTTGAATTAGTCGGTATTTGGGAATAACGAATGTGTAAAAAGTCGAATTTTAGTAATATTCGTTGAGAGGAGAAATTTATTTGTCTATTTTGTTTGGAAACTTTGAATAACGAATGAATTCGATTAATTCGAAATAAATCGAATTTATTCGTTATCTGTTTTTAATGAAAATGTATTTCTTACTCGTTATTCGAATAAGACTTGATTCTGCACTCTCTACAGAACGAATCCTCTCCCCGATGATATTTTCGTTTTTTCCCCACGCGTTACAGCTGTTATTACACAGGAGAAATAGCGATATCCGGTCAGACCCTACTTTTCTCTAAAGCAGTTTTTCAAATGCTTCAACGTTATAGACGTTTCAGAGCGAAACAACGATTTCCGTTTCAGAGAACGGTAATCTGAGGGCTCACTACACGAAAACGACGGTGCGTGCCGGGGAAGTTCTACGACTGGCCGCGGTTTTCCAGGACACGCGGAGAGCACCGGTCTCGAGCGGCATTTCCGGTGTCGTTAGCGGCGTCCCGGAAGGCAAGAGTTCAAGGTCGTCGGAACGAGATCAGTACGCGCAGTGCTTGGATTCTCACGGGCACGAACTGTTCGCGCCGCTTTCAGCCAGAGGAGAATTCTACGCCACCTGCCAGAGTGGAAGCCTCGATACCGGAAGTGACGCTGTGCTCTACAGGGTTCATCAGCTTGCCAGAAGAGACCTTCCTCTGAGGGTGAGTTTTTTCACATACTTTTCCTATAAACGATCAATCCTTTCAATACATTTCCTTGAAAAAATGTCTGCCGTTTCGGTTTCAACCCCTCAACGCTCACATTTTTCTCAACTTAATGCGCCAGAAATGAGCAATTTTATCTCTTTTCAAATTATTTTCTGGACGCATAGAAACGAATTTCCTAATTTCTTTATAACTATCAATATAATGCTGCGACTTACATTTTTGCCATAATCGAAAGGATAACGCAGAAAGTAATTAAACGAAATTGCACTTACTGATCGATTCGCTGTGCTTGAGCGTTAAGTGGTTAACTTGCACAATGAATTATCAGGTGTAGAAATGAATTCTTTCCGACTGGATTCGCATAATAGATTCAAAGCCACTGGTGTTTCAAGCTGGCAGAAAAATGGCAATAGATCATCAGTAGTAATGTAAATTATTTCGACGATCGGTCTGTTTTCAGTCTTTTCAAATAAATTCATTTCTACACCTGATATTTCACTAATAATAATACACTAATAATAATCATCGAGCTTGTAAATTCGTGTGGTGAACAGGTACGACTGGTTGCTGGACCTTTACCAATACCATTGCCACGAGATTACAGTGGTTTGATGCAATTGGAAGGTGCGACAAGGGGTCCTATAGTGTTAGGCTGCGCGGTACCTCTAATGCCTGAGAGGCCTTTACCAAATTCCACGGTCCCGGAACTCCTCGAGCTGGTTGCCACAGGACCAACGGCGCCTCGAGTCAAGAGGGCGCGGTTGGGGTGTCCTTCTGAAGCACGGTTGCTAGCGTCGCCAAAGATGCAGCGATTACTTTCAGCATGCAGGTAAGAAACGATCTGATCTCGAAGAATGAGAGATTGCATGTTACTCAAATTCGCATATTTAATATTCACCTCTTCCCTTATTTCCAAAATACACTTCTTCCTTCTGTACAATGTCTTTTCTGTAATATTAGGTCATCCCAGAAATTCGTACCAAAAGCAAAAAACATTTTAGTAAAAATCCAAGGAAATTCTATTCTAAATTGAAAATGGAAAAAATTTCTTTTTACCAAACGTTTGTCAGAAACGTACGGAATGGCCTAATAAAAGTATTGAAAAATCCGAGCTCTAACGAACCCCGTATTCCGGCTCGAATTCCAGGAGAGCTTTAGACCAGAGGGCAACAGAACCACGCGTGGCGCCTCCGAAACCGCCCAGTAGCGGTGGTCAGTTGAAGGAGCTCCACCTGAAGGAGATCAAGTCCAAGCCGGAGGCGAAACCGATCCTTCAGAGTCTGAAAGAGGGCCTGGAGCACATCAAGCGGACGACCATCAGAGATCGCAGCAACAGTCGAGCGAGTAGCAACAACCACAGCTTCCTCGACAGGATCTCGAGGATAGCACAGGGTGGCAGAAGCAGGAATCCAGCGAAGAAGTCTGCCTCGTTCACGTTCGCGGTTCGCCCAGAAATTGGCATGAGGTCAGAGAGATACGCCAGTTTGGAGTCGGAGACCAATCTGTTGCAGGCCTCGCCTTCCTCGAGGCAGCAGGTCCAACGATCGATTTCCACCAGCGTGTTGGAGGTTCAGTCGCAGCACGATCTCGATCCGCCCTATTCCAAGGTCAGAGACAGCCTAACGCCGCTGCCGCCGACTCCTCCGTCCAGGACGGAGGAGATCTACGCCGAGATCTGCGAACCGACGAACGCGAGCACTCCGGAGGAGAAACCTCCACCTGGAGGGAAGAACGGGACCAGAGAGAAGGACAGGGGTTACGTGAAACTCGCGCTGTCGCAGTCCGAGATTTCCGACGTGAACGCTGGCGAGGAGGAGGAGGGAATTTACAACACCGTCTGCTGATCGTGAATTCGCGAAGGAGGAGAAACGGATCGTCGAGTGTCTCGCGTTCTCAGGTGAATGAAGAAGGCTTCGAAATAATTTCGGTGACCGCTTGCGTCGAATCGAGGAGAGAATTGTTTTATGGAGATGGTTCGGATCGTTGTGTTTGTATATATGGAACATTGAACGACGTTGAAAAGGAGGATGGACAGTGGACGGTAGGTATGAATATCCAAAGATTGATGGAATATCTGTTTTCCTCGTGTCTTTCGTGTGTTGTTAGAAACGAACCTGTGTCTTTTTTAATTTTCAACTATTGTTGAATTCGTCGTATTTAATCGTGTTTTATGATCTTACTTAAGTCGATCTTCCAAGCGAAGGCTAGATCTTGAATTGTGGATGGAGGAGTATTTGAACGAAATTTTTGGTGATTTTCTGAATCGAGGAAATTTTTGAGTGAAAACTGTAGACGGTTATATTTGTAATTGGAAATATTGTATAAAGTGGCTGAAAAATGAAGAATAGACAAGTGAAGCGAAGAAATTTGAAAAAACTCCGTTAAAACGTACTTTTTATACAGTGTTCTCAACTTAAGAGTTTATCCAAAAACAGCAGAAAAGCTGTTGCTCTGCGAAGAAAAGGGCGTGCCTACACGTTTCTCTTCGAAATCAACGGGCAAACTAGAGAAAGAAGAATACTTTCTTCTCAACGCAATATGTAACCCGTTCACGTGAAATACAGCTTTTTAAAGCGATCATCAACTCCTAAACTCGACGAGAACCCCCTGTGCGCCTCGTAAACGTCAACCACCAACGATGATCATTAAACCGCTTAGAAGTTTTTATTCAGACACGCCTGAGGCGAGCCGAGGAAATCGCGAAACCACCCAGCTCGCTCGAATTATCGAGCGATATCCCGAGGAATATCCACCCGAAACTTCTACGTACCGTCTCTCCATTCTCCATTCTGATCGATTCACGAACGACGTCCTAATTGTATCCCACCAGGTTGAATCACGATCCGTAAACGAAGCGTCGCGAACGTTTACACGTTCGGCGAGTTCAATGCTTGTCAAGAGATTCATTAAGACGACGGACATTAAGCATGGGCACGCATACACACGCGTGTATTCAGAGAATCGCGCGCTGGGTAGTTCATTGATGAGGATAACGTGCGACTTCCTGGGTTCGACTGTAGAAAACCGTTGGGGCAGAAACGGCGCGGCGCGGAGCACCGACGGAATTTACAACGCCATTTGCCGAAGAAATTATCCTCCCGTCGTCTTTTTCTCTCGTTTCCTCGTGGCGTGGCGAGAGCGGCGGCGTCCTCCACGGGGAACCGGGCGGAAGATTTACAAGGCTGTTGACCGGGGAAAATGATCGCGTAATTGCGGTCCCGTGCGTGCGCGCGCGGCGGATGTAGCGGGCCTCGGACGGGGGACGCAACGCGACTTCCGGTACATCGGGAATCTGTGCTTGTTGCCCGACCGATATTATTAGACAAGACCGATGACCCGCATTCGAGATTCTACGCGGTTTTAACCCTCCCGGTGCAAGATGATGTGAGAGAGTATGTGGGGATGAAGGTTTCGACGTTTTTAACTCTTTTGTTGCTCGTTGAAGTAAGAGAACACGGGGACGAATTTTTTGTGATTTATTCTTTGCACGTATTCATCTGAGATAATTGTTTTAAGCCTTTCGGCGCTCGTTGAAACAAGAGAATATGGGGACGAATGTTTTGTGATTTACTTTTTGCTCGGTTTTGTTGCAAATAGATCGTTAAGGTTTAACGCTTTCAATGCTGGCTAACATAGGAAAGTGTGGTAAAAATTCTTCCTTTCCATAGTTTTGAGTCTGATTTTCTTTTTTTTAAATATTATCATTATTTTTCACTAAATTTTACTAAATTTTTGATACTCGAGACAGAACGATCAGTGTTATATTCCATTTTTCGCTTTTCTTTCTCTGTTTCAGTGAAAGTATCTCGTACACCGCCTAAAACTGCAGAGAAAATGTTACAATATCCATAGAATATAAATTTATGCATTTTTGATCGGTGAATTTGAAAAAAAATCTGATTGTTAACCCTTCGATTTTAAAGTTGTAAGCGTTAAGTGGTGTTAAAGGGTTGACCGGCGACACTGATTGATGTAATCACACCCAGGGTCGTCTGTCATTCTAAAATTTCTGCTTGCAATCTTTCATTTTTTCTTTTTTTTTATTTAATGCTATGAAACCCCTTATTGACAATTACTAACGTACAATCTTTCATTTAAGGTATACAGTATTAAGCCTCCTTGCTCAATAGTAGTTCCCTTATTGGTAAAAATTAACCTAGAATTGTCAACAATTGAGACACAGCCAAATTTTTTAAATATACTGCAGTGGAGGAACCAATGCAATGGAAACATTAATTCCGAGTTGACATCGATCGGCTCTGAACGAATCTCGATCTCCTTATCTCCCTCGAATTAGGCGTACTTTGTCGCCCGACTGATTTTACAACCTCGCTCTATCGCTTCCACCGACTATACTTACCAAACGCTTCAGCAGAATTGCCTATAGAACGCACAGATTGAACACCAAAAGGGTTAACGAAACGACGTTGCTCGCGTTGATACCAGGTGAATTAATTTTCACCTCGCATTTCGAGTGATTTTACGAGAGTTTTGGTCTAGTTTGAAAAGAGCTGGAAAGAATAAATGATCTTTATAGAAGAAATAGTTCCTTCCTGTTCGGCTGTACCGTGTTTCCCGTTCGAATGGAATAGCTTCGATTCTGTATGGAGCTAGGAAGGGAGGTTTCAAGCGTGTTTTGTACAGTTGTTGGTACCGTTTTAGCGTATGATGGTTGATGTAGCGACCAGCGTTTTGTACATTTGTTGATACTGGTTGTGAATGTCCACGCGGATCGATTTGTAATTTTCTTACTGTATAGTTATTATTTTAAAATACATTGATTTGCAGTTAATTGATGTGACACGTTGTTTTTTTTTTTTTAGAATAAACGTAATTCCTCTTGCCAGTTACAATGGCGCTCTTTTTTTTAGGTGGAACTATATCGTTCTTCTTGAATAAATCTTCTTGAAAGTATTGCAGTTAGATGATCAAGAAGCGAATAACTCACGAGATATTTCAACTTTCTTAGTGGAACGAGCGATTTTTATGTTATAAAAGGTGTTGAAGCTGTTCAGTAAGATTGATTTCAAATTGTTAGTTGGATAGACGTTGGAATCTTCAACGTAGATTTATTCAGAAATGAAGCTCCGCGTGAGAAAATTATTTTATTAATAATTTCCAAATCATTCCCATAAACTATTTTATTAATAATTTTCAGAAACGCTCCTTTCCCGGAAAAAATGTTACTCTACATTTTCCAATCATTTACCTAAATTCACCCCTTTTCAGGTTGCACCACCACTTCAAAAACACCCTGTACATCAATCCAATGAAATCCTACTCGAAGTAGAAGAATCCACTCAAAATTTCCCCGATTTCGTTCCATACAGTTGTGGCGGGTACGTCGTTGCCAACAAACCCTTACCGAACCTTGTTCTATTCTTCCACGCGAAGTTTCTCTTTTCCAACTCCTTCCGTTCTTTTGTCTCCCCCCGGGTTAAGACTTGCCTTCGTCCTCGAGCAGCCTAAGAAGCGCACATGTGGTATCCGGGTTCGCACGAGGACGAACGGCCCCGCTTTCTGCAAATTTTCCGTTTCCACCAATTTCTCCATTTCTATCTTTGTCTATCTCTACCCCTGTCCCCGTGTGCTAACAATATAAAAACTCAGTACGCCTACACCTCCGGTCAGTTTTTCCTTTACCAACCATCGCGACGTACCCGCCGAACCGCCGACAAATTGCACGCCGACTATAACACTTAGATCTTAACACGTTAAGCGCGGCGTCAGTCCGTGGTGACTGACAGTGAACTTTCCGTTTAGGCGGGACTGACAGTGAACTTTTCGTTTGGGTGGCGTCGGTCCGTGGGACCGGCAGTATCATGTTTAAAAAATAAACGTTATGCACTTCTCCTTCTTTTTTTTTGCAATTTATGAACACTTCTTCTATCAACCCGGATTGGTGTTTCTTCGTCTGAATGCCGTGTGAGCGCATTTGTTATCTTCCGTTTATACTCTGCAACCGAACAGCTCGCGAAGTGATCGCCGCTGTGTGCCGCCTGGACGGAAAGCAGAGCGAAATCGGCTCCGCGCTCAACGTGTTAATAAACTGAGGTGAAAACAGTGCAACGGCGTTCCTCACCCACCTCACGGTAAACCAAAAGAGAAAAGAAACACCGAAGAATGAACGTGCTCTCTAAGAAGAGATTCTCTCTGGAAGGTTGAAACAACGCAGTCTTAACAACAGTCCCGTTCCTCGAGAGCACAATCAGGCGAACACAGCGGCGCGTCGTCATTACGCTTTCATCGTGTTCGCGCAGCAACCGGTTCACCCACGATCAAGAAAATTGAAAATGCAGAGATAAACACGCCGGCTGGCTCTGACTTTGAGGAATAATAACGTGAAACGATCGTCAGCGGCTATAGGTCATTAATGTTTTACGAGCACGTAGCGCGCACAGCTGCGTCTATTCAATTATAACTAACAGGGAGAGCCACGAGTCTGCCTCACTCCCCTTCTACGTGTCTGTCCGTTTCCATCGACCGACACTGCGATACGCGTTTATGTCCATTAATATTAACGGCTTGAAATAACGATAATAATGGAGAACTATAGGGATCCAGACGTGCTTTCCTTGACCATGCCGACTGGACTTTCTCGACGGTGGTCCATGGGATTCTGCGATACGAAAAACGAACGTACCATTCTACGGATTATCTCTCTCGCGAGAACTTCCATTCTGTCTACTGGTTTATTCAAATAGCATCAGGTAGAGAGGTGAGAATTTCGGGTCGAGAATTTTTACTGGAGATACTGAAAGTATGCAAGCAGCATAAAAAACGAAGGTATTATTGCTAACGATAGAAATTATTGCAATAATGCGTAATGCAGTTGAAAAATTGA